TCCTGCACTCATGGCCATGGAGTTACATGGTGCAGGAGTGGCTGGCAGGCAGGCAGAAAAGTGGGGAAAGTGGTGGCGGGGGGCGGGTGGAAGCAAGTGAGCGGGCGGGAGTGCAGGGCCTGCACCAGCAACTCAGGGCCAGTGCTGGTAGGGCCCAGAGCAGGGAGGCAGGAGCGTGAGGTGTGGGATGGCAGGGGTCTATGGAGCTGGTCTGTGCTGTGGTAGCAGGGAGAGAGGGAAGCTGGCCCAGCTCCATAGAGCCCATGCTGGCCGGAATCCCATACTCCTGCCGCCCCGCTCTGGGCTCCACCAGCACCGGCCCTGGGACACTGGCACAGGCCCTGCACTCCCATCTGGCTGTCTCTGCGCTCCTGTGCACCCGCTCATTCCCAGTCCCCACTGTCCCAGCCCCACAGTACAGGCAGGGACCAGTGCGCACAGTCCTGACCCCGCTCAGCTGTCTGGGCTGAGCACAGGAGGAACTGCTGTTCAGCGTGGGGGGAAAGTGGCCCCTCCCCCTTCCCCTTGCGTCCTGGTGCAGCCGCCTGGAGCCTGCGCAGGGATGCTCTGTGTCTTTGCCGTGTCACCACTGCCTCTGCAGCGCAGAGCAGACACAGAGCAGCTCCACCAGAAAGCACCGCTACCGGGAGGTGCTGCTTTCCCCCCACACTGAGCAGCAGTTTCTCTCCCGCGCCACTGCTGCTGAGCCTGGGCCCCTGTACCAGCTCCGGGCTTGCCCATCCAGACTGAGCAGCAGCAGCAGTGGCAGGAGGCCCGGCGGGGGCGGGTGGCGCCCCAGCCGCAGCTGGGCAGTTTTACATGCAGCCGCCTGGAGCCTGCGCCATGCCGAGCTGCTCTGTGGCTCCATCACCACTGCCTCTGGGCTACCCAGCACAGCAGCGATGACAGTGTGGAGCAGCCACAGGGCAGCTCACAGGTGGTGATGACAACTGCAGGGCAGCCCAGCATGGTACAGGCTCTGGGCAGCCGCACCAAAAACTGCCTGGTGGTGGTGAGGGGTTGCTTTCCCTTGCACCGAGCACCAGTTTCTGCCCAGCTGTTGCTGCCACTGCTGCTCAGCCTGGACAGGTGAACCTGGAGCTGGCATAGGGCACACAGGGTCGCAACTGAATGTGCTGGTCCCCACTGTTACCACTGCATGCTCAGGGATGGCAGGACATGCCACGGTTGGGCAGTGCAGATCGGGCACGGGGTGCGCTGGGGCTGCACACTGTCGATGGTGACAGGGAGGCACCACAGGACGCTCAGGCTCTGTCCTGTTGCAGGGCAGGGTTAGGTGCTGACCGGCCCAAGGGTGTGTGCGTAGGGGGGCTCCCATGCACACCAAACATGCCCTCAAACCCTTCCCACAAACCCCATAGCCACACCCTTCCTGACACACAATCGCACACCCCACAAATACGGAAACCCCCCATACCCATCCACGTACATTCACACCCAGAGCTCCCCACAAACCCCACACCCGCCCACCCATACCCCCCGACACCACTGCACACCCCACACAATATTTCATAGATTTCATAGACATTAGGGCTGGAAGGGACCTCGGAAGATCATCGAGTCCAGCCCCCTGCCCAAAGGGCAGGAAGTCAGCTGGGTTCATAGGATCCCAGCAAGATGAGCATCCAGTTTGCTCTTGAAGGTGTTCACTGTAGGCGCTTGAACCACCTCCGGTGGCAGGCTGTTCCAGACCTTGGGGGCTCAGACAGTAAAAAAATTCTTCCTTATGTCCAGCCTGAAACGGTCTTGTAGTAGTTTATGACCATTCGACCTAGTCGTCATCCCTTGGGGCGCTCTGGTGAACAAACATTCCCCCAGATAATGGTGGTCATCCCTGATAAACTTATAGGTGGCCATCAGATCACCCCTGAGCCTGCGCTTTTCCAGGCTAAAGAGCCCCAGGGCTCTCAGCCTGTCAATGATGACCCCCAAGTCTCTTTCTTCCATAGTGCTAGCCAACATAGCACTGCCGAGCCTATAAGGATGCTGCGGGTTTTTTTCCCCAAGGTGGAGCACCTTGCATTTATTGGCGTTGAACACCATCAGATTCTCGTCCGCCCACTTGCTGAGCCTGTCCAGGTCAGCCTGGATAACCTGCCTGTCTTCTGGTGTGGATGCTTTGCCCCCAAGTTTGGTGTCATCGGCGAACTTGGCCAGTTCTGATCGCTTC